GTCATGCAGTGGGTCCTTGATGGTCCATTAAACAGAAATAGCTCCTGGGGGGAGCTCTGTGTGAGTCATGGGGCGAGGCAAGGATGGGCCCATGAACAGGGAGGTCTCCTGCTGGGTGGGAAGGTGTTAACATCTCCCCTGACCTCTTTCCTTATCTGTTGTGGCCTGGGCTCTGAGCTGTGTCCTGGGCAGCTGCTACCCATGATTTTGTTAACAGCAGTGCCATAGAGAGTATAGAATACACAGTTTTTGGTTCTACCCACATAAGGATAAACTGGTCCCAGCCCCTGTAACCATGACAATCTCCAAGGTTATATGAAAGTTATACATACATGTTCATGGTGATGATTAACATATCCATAGCTTTTTCCAAGAGTTCATTAACATAAATTACTGCCTAGTTCCACGTGTGCATTAAGGTCCTCAGGTGGTCAGACATCGTCCTTTGGTGGCCTTTTGATGAAGTCTCCAAGTCTTCCTCAGCAGTAAACTTTTGACCTTTGTGTTGTGGCTGGTGCTGGTTAGAAGCAGTTGCTCTTGCAGCTGTGCACCTAGGTTCTGGTTGGAATCAGTTTCTCTTGCAGCTGTGCACCTCGTTCCCTTATCTTCAAGGGTGCTGTGCTTTTTGGTTTCTGACAGCCACACAGGCTGCTGTAAGTTACAACTTCCTTAGTTCTTTCTGTAGTTTCTCAGACATGTCACAGACCTCATTATCTTTAGCCAGTAGAGCTGGTTTACAACCTAAACTCTATTAGCCCTTCATCACGCTGAGCAGTATACATTTTAAGCATTGTACAATTCTTTGCAGTATACCCTTTTGCTATCAAGGGGAAAAAAAACAAGCAAACAAAAATTAAAAGGCAAGGCAAGCAAAAGTATGAATTTCTTGGGTTTGAAATGACAGTCAGGAACACTAGTAACACTAGCTTGTTTCCTGAGAGGTTTCCTGATAGGCAGCCAAAGTGAAGATGTGTTGGACTGGGAAGACTTGAGACATAAGACCATTTTTTCCAGGCTGCATCTCTGTGTAGTCACCAGTCTGTTCCCTGTGTCCAGGGAGAAGGGGTGTGTGTGGGGGTGTCTTCCTGCCTGCTTTGTGGTTGGAAAACTCCCATGGCTTTTACAGTGAAAGGCAGTGGCTGCTGCTCAGTCAGGTTCAGTGCTACTGTGGTGATTAGGAGTCATGACACTAAAGATCTCTTTCAGAATTTCACACCACTGGAAATCAAAATGGAGCTGCTGGAGCTCACTGTAAGTCATCAGAATGTATTGCTGAAACTAGATGCTTTCCATGTGTTGAGTACTGAGGTGTTGGGTAACAGACCTGGTGTGTTATGGAGATCTTTCCTTGTTGTGTAAGAACGTGCTTTTATGGCCACATACACGTGCTGACCAGTTTCCTTGATGCCCCAGGACCCCACGGACTTTGAGTGGAACTACTGGATTGAATGGGGAAGGGAGCGTATTCTGTGGCTCCTGGCTGGTCACCTGCTGGTATCACAAGTGTCCAGGCTGTTGGTTGAGAAGGTAAGTGTGGATTTTCTCCACAGCAGGGTGGTTTCTGTGGGTTTCAGTTTACTCTGGGCATGGAAAACTCAGCACTGAGGCTACTGAGCATGGGGAGTTCCATTCTGTGGGGTCAGTTGTGTGAGTGGGTCTGTAATGATACAGGAGAACAAGTAGGTTGGTTGCTGGAGGTCTGTGTGTGGAGACTTTAGCCTCCAACCCTGGAAAGCCTGTGCTTTATTGTGACCCACAAACCAGTGTCATTTGACGTGTACATGAAAGAAGGGTGGTGTTATTCCTTTTCAGGACTGTAAAGTGACACCCACTTGTGTTTGGCATCACTGGGTGAACAGTTGCATGATTGTGGAAAACGACTGGCATGTGGTGTCACAGCTGCTAGACTGAGGAAGGGAAGGAGGAAGCTATCTTCTCCCCAGAGCAGAGAGTGCTGGATTTCACACGGGCTGCTACAGGAAAGCCCTTCCCTTCCATCCATATGGATACAGTTGTGTTTCCATGTGGTGTTTCATCTGTTCTTAACCTTGTTGAGTGCATTTGTTTCTACTATAGACCCTGTGTAGGACAGCACAGATATTGAGACATAACTAAACTAAAAATTGTTCATTTTTCTTTCTCTAACAGTATAAGCCATGGTGCTTGATGGTTTATGGAATGGCTGCCTGCTGGTTGTTACTGGGGATCAAGGGCTTTGCTGTGATTTTGCTGCATGCAGCTATTTCGTTTGCTGTGGCTCAGTTTCAGCTGTCGCTCCTGACATGGTTGTGTTCCCTTATCCTGCTGTCCACTTTACGTGTACCAGCTGTGGAAGAAGCCAAGGTAATGTCAGAAGGACTAATTAAGCATCAAACTATGCTGGTGTTTGTCCATTATGGCAACTATCTTTATAGCAGAGTACTGTCCCTTCAGTTGACCTAAGCAGAGTCTGGCTTGAAAAACCTGAAATAGTAGAACTGTAGTGACTTGTCCTGGAGCTTCTTCATTTAGAAAAACTGTAGTTCTCCATCATGCTGGCTTGTGCATTGAGACAAAAAAAATGCTTTAATGTATAAATGGCGTTCAGCAGAGCATGATAATACTTTACTAGTGCTCTAGTAAGGACATCTCTTGTTCTTTGGAGCTGTAATCATACCAATTTAAGGTGCTGGTTTAGGTTCATATCCAGGAGCTACCTAGTCAAGCCTGACCATACATTATGGGTGACTGCAGACTTCTGTATGGAAAGGGGGACTGCTCCAGCACTTTGATTTCTACCAAACAAGTTGCTTGCTTGCAACTGGTTGGTGCAAGCTCAATTTTGCTCTTTCTCTAGGGACTTTTGCTGGGCAGTATAGATTTTAGAGAAAGTGTTGCTCAGTTGTGAGAGAGTCCTTATTGCCCTTACTTGAGCTAAGGGGAAGAACTGGGCATGTTTTGTAAGTCTTGTTGCCCTGTCTTCAGGGGGAAGGGAGGTGAGTGGGTAGGACCTCTTCATGTGGTGTAGACAAGTTTGTGTTGCACTGAGAGGAGAAAAGGGCATACTGCAATACAAATGTTATCAGCCAAACTACATTTGCTGATGTTTCCAAGATAATTTTTTTTTTTTTGTGATGATGTGTTTTTGTTGTTGGAAATAGACATGACAGCAAGTGTCAAACTTGGTAAAGGCTCAGTAACATCTTCACAGCCTTGAGCTTTCTCAGGAGTGACTGATTCTCTTCAGATCTGAACTGCAGCTTTGGCAGTGTCACCAGCTGGTTTGGTGATTGTGTTACTGGACCAAATCTGAGGGAGATAAATGGCATTTCTGTAACAAAAGCTTTCCTTCTGCTATAGTTCTTCATAACTTAATATGTTGTCTCTTTGCTGGTTGCAGTAGCTCTTGGAGGCCATTTCTCTGTTAACAGCCAGTGCTGCTTGTTGATGCATGAAGTAGTGTTGTTCACTTCAGATGCTTGTTCCAGCTGCTGTTCACTTTAGTTACTTCCTGCTGCTGGTGACCCTGAAGGTTTGGATCTGGGTGGACATCGATGTACAGCCATATAGAAAATGCAGCATTGCACCATTGTCATCTGGCTTTGTTTTCTCTTGCAGAGAAAGTGGTATGACACTGAAAATGAGTATTATCTGCTGCTCTTCACTGTGTCTATCCGCTGCCTTTTCTGCACTAGCTTCAGCCTGGAGTACTGCTGGCATGGACCTGCCCAGAAGTCATCTTACTCGTTCCTGTGGATGCTGGCATATGTGTTTTACTATCCTATGTTCCATAACGGACCCCTTATGAACTTTGATGAATTCAGTAAGCAGGTAACTGTTTTTTAAAAACAGTGGTGGATTTTCAGGGCATCTGTGCTTCACGTGCATTGGGTGAAGAACTATTGAATCATAGAATTATAAAATGGTTTGGGTTAGAAGGCATCTTAAAGATCATCTAGTTCCAACCCCCCTGCCATGGGCAGGGACACCTCCCACTAGACCAGGTTGCTCGAAGCCCCATCCAGCCTAGCCTTGAACACTTGAGGAATGTGGCATCAACAACTTCCCTGGACAACCTGCTCCAGTGTCTTGTCACCCTCATAGTGAAGAATTTCTTCCTTGCATCTAATCTAAATCGTATTCTTTCAGTTTGAAGCCATTGCCACTTATCCTATCACTACACTCCCTGAGAAAGAGTCCCTCCCCATCTTTCCTGTAGGCCTCCTTTAAGTACTGGAAGGCTGTTATATTGAAGTGGATGGTAATATTTTTTTTACCTGCTAAATCCAGGCACAAAGTCTGTACTTTAAGGCATATATTAAAGCATGGAAGGTTGGTTTTTTTTTTCCCCTCATATTAAGGGTTTTTAATAACAGTCATGAGAAAATGTCAGGTAGATAATTTGATCCAGTTTTCCCTGAGGTCATCTTCTAATGATTATTTCATAATGTAGTTGACAGGTAAGCCTGAGTTTCTATTTATTTTCTAGTTACATCCTTGTCAGAAGTTGTTAGTGATGAGACTTGTGAACAGAAAGTGTTTCTCATGCTAGTCTGTATCTATTGTCCTTCTCTCTGGAAGTGTTAAAGTATGCTGCATGCAAAAGGGAAGGCTGTAGTTAGAAACCAGTCTTGGGTGTTCATGCCTGCATGCCAGCTGTGGCATAACACTGAACTCATGTAAGGCTGGTAACTAGCATAGAGAATATATTTATTCAAAAATATTGTTAAAATGTCTTTATATCTAGTGCTTGGGTGGCAAAAGGTTGATTAGACTACAGTGTTAGAGAAGGTGGAAAGAAGGCAACGTAGTTTTTGAAGACTGGATGGTTCATCTTTTCTATCAGACTATTTCCTTCTGAAATTTTTCCCTTAGTGAGGTACTTTTCTGTAGTTTTTTTTTTCATCTAGTGTCAGATTCATCCCTTCAACCTGGGGACTAGTGACATGTTACATTTGGAGAGTGTTCATAATTTTAGCATGCAGCTGATGGACTGAAATTGTTTCCTCTCCTGCATCAGGTGGAATAATATAACATTTTTAGCAGCAGCTGGCTTTTAACTCTGAAACAGATTGCAGAGTCACAGAAAACTGCTGGTTTGCATTGGGAATTCCTGAAGACTAGTTTCCCCTCATGTTGTTGTGAAAACAGCTGATGATTTACTTGGAATGCTTTTCTTCAGACTTCAGCAAGCTGAGCAGCTCCCTTCATGTGAAAGACCTGCCTGTCTTACTGAATGTTTCTCCTAGTGCTCTGCAGGCTGCTTTTCAAGCCTGCTTCTACACGACAGGAAACCCCCACATTTCCATGCTTATTGCTTTCCTTATTTTCTTACACACTTCAGTAAGAAGTTAAATCACCACCCATAATGTATATTGCAAGTATCATTGGCATAAAGTGTATGAATGGATGTCTCAAACCATGGAACTGCTCTTTCAGTTTATGTATGGAAGCCTAGGCATTACTTGCTTCTCTTTATATTTGGAAGCAAATAGACTGGGCTTTATGAAAAGTGAAAACTGAGATGCTGGTAGACCTCTGAGTGACAAGTCCCATGCTCGTTTGTCTTCAGTGGTTTTGGAAGGTGCAAGGCTGAATGTTATTATCCCAGGTTGGATGTTGTAGAAGTCTGCATACCATAGCAGACTGCATATGAGATACCAGGTCAGAGAGTGGCTTGGGTACAGTGGGTAGAAAAATTTAGGTGTTAGTGTTTTGCATTGAAACTAAGGTCACCTGATATGGCTCAGCAAAGACCTGTGTGAAGATCACCTGTATTCTTGGTGTGAGAAGAAAAAAGAAGATTGAGAAAGGTATGCAGTAGATTCTAATTTAAATATGCACAGACCTGCTTGGTTAAAGCCATAAAGATGGAACAAACTGAACAACCTTTGTGCTTCCTGTTGGTGTTTGCTGAAGAGCATTGTCAGAACCTGAGCAGAGGGTATGGCCTTGACAGGTGAGGCTGGAGAAGAGTTTTGAATTTTGCTGCCTAGGAGTTGATTCAAAGTGCATGATACAGGTGATGCTTATTGGAGCTATTGGAAGAGCTCACCTGCAGAACACATTACTTGAAGCTCATCTCTAATGAGAGGCCCTGCTGAGCATGCTGGAAAGCCAGAGTCCTGGAGATGGAGACAAACTGCTTCATGGTCTGAAGAGTGTAATACAATGCAGGCAGTTGGCAGTTGTTGCCAGGCAGAAATGAACCTGATGGTTCATTCATCAGTGGCCTTGCTGAATTTCTGGGTTGAAGCAAGGCATAGTAATTCTAGTCCTGGCTTTGAAGGCCTGTTCTGCAAATCCCTGTAGACTCCAAGCTTTCATTTAAACAACTGAACCTTCCAAATAAATGTCCTTTATAAGTGAGCAGAGATAACTGCATGTGAGCTGTACTATGTGCTTGCAATTATGAGGAGGTTTTGTCTGTGCAGATGGGTTGGGGTTTGTTGCTTATCTTGTAAATGCATTTTTGGTGGCCAGTTAGACTGCTGAAGGACGTGTTGCACACACAAAGATAGATGTACAAAATGGGACTTATTTTTTAGGCAATCCTATGTTTTTGTTGTTTGATCAGATTCTACTGCAGAAAGAAGGTTAAATTATACCAAAGTGTTTACTATAGTTAGCAGCATCAGTGTTTGGGGCATCTTGGGAAGCCTGTCAGCTGCAAACCTTGTCTTATCTGATATTTAACTTGCACTTGACAGCAATTTGCTCAGTGTGTCATGTAGCTCTTGCTGACTTCAGCAGAGCTACAGGAGAAAAAATAAGAACTGTCCTCAAATCCCATGCAGCTGGTAGAAGTTGGAGGTATTTTAAATGCAAGCAGTCATTGTTTCTGTGGTTGGTAGGGCTGCTGCTTGGAAAGCCTTCATAGCTGTAGTTTCTTCAAGCTTAATAAAGATAATAAAATCAAGATAATATCAAGATAGTAAAAAGTTTAATGAAGTTAAAGGAATTAAAAGATGTCTCATGTCTGGATTCTGTTCAGTTTAACATCACTTGGCCTTTTCTTCAGCAGTTTGGTACAACATGTTCATGAATGGAAAGACCATTCTTCCCTCAAGACTATGTCAGGAATTTCCAAATATGGAAATGGTCAGATATGGTCAAATGGTCCACTTAGTAGCAGTAATAAACAGCAAATGAGATTTGTTTTTTTATTTATTCCTTAGATGAGGAGACAAGAAGCCTTCAGTTTCAAGACCAATCTCAGCATCTTAGTTGTGGGCATAATTCGTATTTTCTTTTGGTGGTGTCTGGCTGAGCTGATGATTCACCTCATGTACATCCATGCTCTCTACAGCAGTGCTCCACCTTTGGAAGCTGCTTCATACTGGGCCTTGGGTGAGTACAGAAACAATAACAGAAATCTTTCTTCCCCTACTTCAGAAACCTTAGTCTACTTCTCTTATGTCCATCTGTAGGTACTTATGTATAGTTTATTCTGGTCAATCACTGTCAGAAAGGTAGTCTACAGAGCCTTAATATAATATGTAGATCCTCCAAAAAGCTTACAGTTGAACTTACTGAGCTGCTCCCTAAATTAAAAAATATAGAATACTTTTTGCAATCTGAAGCATGTGTGCTTAACTTTGGTCTAAAGTGGGTTTTTACCTCAAATCATAAAGGTGGACCCTTAAAGTTTTAGTGTAGGCATGGAGGAGGGGAGATGTTAAGAAATAATATGTTTATTGATCTCCTGTGTTTGATGTTTATAGTCCTTATTCGTGTTGAAAGGTAAAGTGAGAATACTCAAGAACAGAGGGAAGGGATTGCAAACAAGGTGGCTTGAAAGTATCAGTCAGTGCCTCTTAGCTCTGTTTTTCTGCTTGACTTTCCCCTCCTGTGCCCCCTCTCAGCTCTCTTTACAATGGGGGGTGGGGGAAGGTGGCACAGAAAAGTGTGCTGATGAATGTAGCATAAAGGCAAGAGGGTGCTGTTATGTAGGCAGATGTAGGGTGACAAATAAGCAACTGGTGTATGTGGTTGGTTTGATTCCACCCCCCCCAGCAATGTCCTGCTGTGTGTATCACCAGGATAGGAGGGAAAACTAAAGCAGAGAAACCCTAGGCCTTACTACTAGGTTGTGAAAAAGCCTTGGTGGTTGCAGAATTGAAGGTGGTGTCTCTTACTGTACCAGCAAACAACAGGAATCAACTCACACACTGGTATGGTCCTGTCAAGCAGGAGGTAATGTACAATGAGTGGTGTTGTTGGAGGACACTTGTGTATTGGACTCTGGTCAGCAGAGGGCAATGTGTGTGCTCTGTGTGTGTATGTGCACATATATACACACAGTATATATATTTCATTTTTTTTATATATAGTAAAGGAGCAAGAGCAGTTGGAAAGCAGGGAGAAGTTTGTCTCCATGGTTCATTCTACCCCTCCTCACTCAGTCACTGTTCAGAATGTGGATTCTTGAGTTTTCATCCTTTCTAAAATGTCAGTTCATTGATTAATGAAATCTGTTGTTCTCTGCTGTTGCCTGTGGGCGAGAAGCTGGCCACTGGATAAGGCAGGCAAGGCTCCAGAATTCAGGATGAGATACTCTGGCTTTGGTGCTGCTGGCATTTTCCTCCCTCCCTTCAAGACTGCTGGTGTTGATTTAAAAAAAAAAAAGATGGGGGGAATTACAGCCTACTTAGCTGTTGTCTCAAAAGTATATTTGAAATTGAGTGTTTTATCCTAAAAATTAAAATGCACTTTGAACAGATGATTAGGAAAGGCTAAAACACCTCAAAACAACAGGTGATTAAAGCCAGTGTTAAAGCAAGCTTGGACTGTAAAGCTGCTGGATGAAAATATGATCATTTGAATTGAAACAAGTTTCCTGTGGAGACCCCACTTGTAGCAGAGGTATGTTCAAAGTGTAACCCTATGTTAGATGAGCTTTGAATGAAAGCAGGTGTTTAAAATACACTATGAATTGAGATTTTTGAGGCAGAAGTTTGCCACTCCTTAAAATGTTTTCTTTTTGCATTTTATCACAGTTGTTGTACTGGTTCCCTTAGACTCAAACCAGTGACAGGCCTCTGTTGTGATTTGCTTTGGGGAGACATCAATATATGAGTATGGCTCTTGACACTGGCCTGTCTGTTCCTTCAGTGCAGTGGGCTCCAGTGGTACCCCATGCTCCCAGCAGAAGACATTACCAGCCTCCAAGACCCACCAGGCATGATGAGCTCCTGACAGCACAGTGTTAAGGATTGCTCATGGGCTGGGCTTTGCTACTCTCTTCTCAATGGCTTATTTCTCATAACTGCTTACCTTGACACCCCTGTCCTTGCAGCAAACCTTGACTTCAAATCCTTCTGAGCAATGCTGATCCTCTGTGGTGGGGATTATATGAAAACCCAGGTAATAGCAACAGTATGATTTTTCCAGTGGCCAAATATCAGGTCCCCCATCAGGAATAGTGAAGAATATGAGGGGACTGTATCCATGGTGCCTGTTTTTTTTTTTTTTTGAACTGTTGTACCTGTTTGTCATATATATAGCACTTCAGCTTGTAGGAGGTTTTTTAGTGTCTGAACACAGAATTAATTTAAAGATATCAGCTGGACAGCACAGTACTGTTATTTATTGATCCTAGGAAGCTGTTTGAAGAATGAGAGCATTTTCTAGAATGGACAGATCAGTGTCTATATTCACAAATATTTCTTTGAATACTTAGTTATTGGCATATTAAGCAATATTAGGGCATTTTTGCTTGTTTAGCTCTGAGCATCAAATGCAGTGTTTGTAGCAACTTATTTTTGTGTTAGTGCTGCATCTTGTTCTAGCAGCATCAGTCAGATGTAAAAAAGTGTTTTCAGAATTAATGACACAGCAGGAAGACCTGTGTTCCATGCTAATAGAAACCCTGAAAAATTCATTCTTCTCAGTTTTTAAAGTTAATTTCCACTAATTTGCTGCCTTTCCATTTTACATTGTGAAATGAAGATTTGCAGGCACCAGTGATAAAGCCACTGTGGATTCCAGTAGTCCAGTATCCTGGTGAACTTCAGCATAGCAGAAGAATAGCCACACTGGGACAGATCAGGTATTCATCTGCTCACTAGAGGAATGTTTGGACATGATATGTAATGAAGCCTAGGAAAAGAAATAAAAAATAAAGGGCAGGTAGATTGATTTTTTTTTTTTTCCCCCAACATATGATCCTTCAGACTTATGTAGCTGAATGACAGATTCACTGACTTGTATAGTAACTCAAGTAGGAGCTCAACAGTTGAAAGATCTTAAGTTGCAATAAGTGATACATATTTTTATCTTCACTAACAATATAGAAAATCAATGATAAAATTCACTCTGGGGAATATTCTACTCTGCTCTTGTAACACCCCACCTGGAGTACTGCATCCAGCTCTGGAGCCCCCAGCACAAGAAGGACAGGGACCTGTTGGGGCAGGTCCAGAGAAGGGCCATGAAAGATGATGGAGAGTTGGAACACGTCTTCTGTGAGGGCAGGCTGAGGGAGTTTGGGCTGTTCAGCCTGAAGAAGACTGGGGAAATCTAATTGTGGCCTTCCAGTATGTGAAAGGGACTTACAGAAAAGCTGGGGAGGGACATTTTACACAGGCTTGTAGTGATAGCATGAGGGATAATGGCTTCAAACTGGAAGAGGGTAGATTTAGATTGGATGTAAGGAAGAAGCTCTTCATTATGAGCGTGCTGAGATGCTGGAACAGGTTGCCCAGGGAAGCTGTGGACACTCCATCCCCAGAAGTGTTCAAGATGAGGTTAGATGGGGCCTTGTACAACCTGGTCTGGAGGGAGGTGTCCCTGTCTGTGGGAGGGGAGTTGGAACTATATGATCTTTAAGATCCCTTCCAATCCAAGCCATTCTATGACTGTCACATTGCAGGTGTTGTGAGTCTTAGAATTAATTGCTGCATGTAGAGTGTAGCTAGTGTGTGATGTGGTGTCCCCATTTTAGTTGGCTAGTGAGATCACTAAATCACATCCTGATGGCAGCCTGACCCCTTCACAGATAGAAAATGGATTTCTGAGTTCATTTTAAGAAGCATGCAGTGTTTTGCTATTGAAATTAAGGTGTCTGTGCATCTGTCTAAATGGTAATGAAATACTAGCAGAGTAATCTGAGCTTTTTTTCCCATCCTGCAGGATGATGAGGAGACTAAATATTTGGCATCTTGATGTCTGTTTTGAAAGCTGGAAATGGAAATATCAATCAGAAAGCATAGTAATATTTTATTCTCTAGAATTTTGGGTAGTTCACTGCTATATAGAAAGCAATATGTGTGGGGGAAGGTAAATCATTGTTATAAGCTTTCCTGCAGGCTAAACTTCCAGATGGTATTGGCAGTCAACCTGCTTTTTTGACTTGTGTGTTGAGGCTTAACCCCAGCTGTTAACTGAGCACTACACAGATGCTCACTCATTCCCCTTGTGGGATGAGGGAAAGAATTGGAAGGGAAAAAAACCAAACAAACAAACTTGGGAAAACCTGTGAATTGACATAGAGACAGTTTAATAGGCAAAGCAAGAGCTGTGTGTACAAGCAAATCAAACCAGGAATTCAGTCACCCCTTCCCATTGGCAGGTGAGTGTTCAGCTATCTCCAGGAAGGCAGGGCTCTGTCACGTGTAACAGTTATTTGGGAAGACAAATGCCATCATTCTGAACGTTCCTCCTTCTTCCCTCAGCCTCATATTGCTGAGCAGTTATTTATATGGTCTGGAATATCCCTTTGGTCAGCTGGGGTCAGCTGTGCCAGCTCTGTCCCTGCCCAGCTTATTGTGCACCCCCACCCTCCTCAGTGGTGGAGTGGTGTGAGAAGCAGAAAAGGCCTTGACTCTGCAATCACTGCTTAGCAATAATGAAAATATTCTTGTATTATCAACACAATTTTGAGCATAAATCCAAAACATCACACCGTACTATGAAGAAAATTAACTGTCCCAGCCAAAACCAGTACAATGTAGTAATTGTTGATTTATGTAGAGAGTTCTTTCCTGCAAGTGTTTACTAATGAATGTAATGTCTATTGTAGATATTCTGGGAGTACTCAGGCTAGGTGGCTTTAAGGCATTTGTATTGTGAAAAACCTTCTGGTTTTCTTTAACCTAGATCTTTTGATGCCTTGACCATGAGTCCCTGGACAGGTCTGTGTTTAGTCATAAGTAAATTCTGTTTGGAATCTTTATGTCCCTTCAGCTTTGTCAAAAAAGAAGCACTTAGCCTCTAGGACAACCCTTGTGGTCTGTACTTCCACCATTCCATATATTTTAGGATTTTTCTTGCTGCTTGTGTGCTGCTGGAGGGCTGGAGTGTGAAGCTGGGCTGCATGAGTCCTTATAGTACTTTTTTCTTTTATCATTCCTTTTGATTTTGTGAGCCAGCACCTCTTTCAAAGCACTGCCAAGCAGCAGTGAAAAACACTGCTGAGCACTGTGAGCCTAATTATTAATGGCATTGTTTTCCATTCAGGTAATGAAGTTAGAGTGCTTCATGCTTCTTGCATGATGTTCTTTTTCAATGGCTAGGAACAGGAGTAACAGAATTGAGTTATCACTTTTGCATTAGGTCAGGTCAGTGTAGCAGGTGTGAGTGGATGGTTAGCCCTGGCCAGAGGGGCAGGAGAGCACAGTGGGATGGATGTGGGATGGATGGCAATGGCTGCAGAGCTCTGCTTACCTTTGTACCAAACTGACTTGGTGCTGTGGTGCTCGTGTGCTCATAGAAAAGCTTCTCTCAGCATGAGATGTAGCCTCCTGCTGGGACAATACCAAACTAAAGAGGTCCTAGTAGATCCAGTCTTGGGGCTCTTGTCAGGGAGGAGTGTCCTGCTGTGAAGAAAAGGCTGTAGCCCAGTGTGCAATACTTGTTGATAATCATGCTCTTATTAGCTGATTAGTGGAGCTGGAAGCTCCTGATGTAGCTGATGATTGTTGGCATTACTGCTGAGATCCATCTCTAGCCTATCTACTCCAGTGCAGATCTACATTCTTTCATGGAGACTTAATTTATTTTTTTCCAGTAGGTGAAGAGGCATATAAAGAGTAAATGAACTTGTAAAGCCTCATGTTTTGAACTTGATATGGCCCTAAATTCTAAGCTGTTCAAAATGTCTGTTTCCTATCAGACTTGTGCCACATGTCAGTAGCCTTTTTGAAATATGATTGCATGTTTCTCTCTGATACGTGTTTTCTAGCTGAACCTGCCATTGTACTTGACAGAAACAAGCATCTACAATAATTAAAGCCATAAGGTAGATGTAGCTGCAAAAAGGGTAAATTTGTGCTGTTGTCCTCATAACAGAATTGCCTGCTAAGCTGTGATTCTTGACCATGAGTTTTGGTGGTGGTTTAAAGACAGAAAAATGCCAAGTGGGGTTTCTAATTCCTGAATATAAATCTTTTGTCTTGTACCTATAAAAATGTTCTGTTTGATAACTTCTGTCAAAAAATATCAGGCACAGTTTTGAGAATAAGAAAATGAAAACAAAAATTTAAAATTCTGTTAATATTCTAGTTATTCTTGAAACAAAGCTCTGTGAAACTTAAAAGATGCAGGTTTGTAGTGAATTTATTGAGGGTAAATATCTGAAGGTCTAGAAATGCATTTTTAAAGCATAGGAAAATGTAGAATGTTTTAAGGATTGCAAGATGATAAACTGAAAATATCAATTTTTATACAAGTCAGTTAATTTGATCTGGGACTTCAGACAGCTTTGAAGTGTATTGGTTTAAGACTGTACGGGTACTTGGGGTTTTTTTATCCTTTAACACATTTCAGTTTAAAAAAAAACAAAAAACAAACAAACCCAAAAACAAACAAACAAACAAACAAAAAAAACCAACAACAACTTAACCTTGATGCTGAATCCTTTGAGTTTTTACTGGGGAAAAGATAGCATTTTGGCAATACTTTTTTCCTTAGGTGTGTTTTTATAATACACTTGATACAGCTTGTTTTGAATTTAAGGTAATGCTAGTCTGTGAGTTCTTGAAGATTTAAATCAAGCACTAGAGAACAAATAATGTAATATTGTTAATGAATTTGAGAAGTCTAGCATTGATCTTAAATTCCTTTTTTTATTTCATGATTTTATATCAAGAGAAGCAGTGTACTTCTGGCTGTTTTGTGCTATGATGGTAATGCACTTGCCAGTGCAGCCCAACTCATGTGTGGCTGTGAATCTTGCCCTTGGTTTTCCATGAGTAGCCAGAACCCTCGCAGAGCTGGGATGAGTTGAAGACCAATGAGAACTTAATCTACATGTTTTGATGGGTGCCTGTTCCTCACTGAGGGTGATGAGGCATGGAACACTCTCTCCAGGGAAGCTGTGGGTACACTGCCAGTGATGTGTTCAACAGCAGCCTGGGTGGGGCTTTGAGCAACCTGGTCCAGAGGGAGGTGTCCCTGCCCATGGCAGGGGGTCTGGAACTAGATGATCTTCAAGGTCCTTTCAAACCCCCACCATTCTGTGACTGTAGGTATTGCAGGTATTGAGTCTTAGAATTGCTGTATACAAAACTTAGCTACAGACTGGTGACTTGATGTCCACGTTTAAGACAGCAGTGCTGCTGAGCTGTCTGCTGGTTAACAGCAGGGAGAACTTAGCTATATGCTATTAGAGGTGGCCAAAATACCTTTTTTTCCTTGAAGCTTGTGTATTGCCTCAGAATATTTCATCCCTGCACTTGAAATCAAATGCATTGATTTTTGAGTCTGAAGGGAGTGGTAGTCTGGCTCTAAATAGTTCCAGCATGCACAGCCAAAGGATTTTGAATTTCACCAATGCACAGACAGCTGTGATCTTCATACTTGGTTTGTGTGTGTGAGCATTCAGCTCTCCAATGAAGTTTGTCAGAAAAGAAATAAGAAGCTGAATGAGACGGGAATTAAAGCAGAAAGTTGGTTGTATAGATGATTTAGTGGTAAGCCAATGTGTAGCTAATTGGTTAGTATCCAAATTGTGCTTCTGATTGTTTTCCTCTGGGGAAGAATGTTATTGAATACTAGGTGATTGCTTCCCTGAAGGAAAATACCACAATCTTCATATCTAAGTATTCTAGCATTGATTTTTATCTTGTATGGCACAACTGTTTCTTATATCATGCACATATGGATTGTGATATTAAAACTAAAAATATTGGACTGTAGCAGCAAAATACTGGCCATGTGTAGGGCAGCAGGAGTTTTGCAATTTACATTATGAGTGCCAGAATTTTACCCTAGGTTGTTATATATTAGATTAATTTTTAATGTTTAAATTTTGGTTATCAACCATAGTATACTCATTAGTCAGCTTTAAAATGCAAAAGGGATGTTTTGCCAAAAAGAAAAAAGTTATTTTAATGTTTGTGGACTTGTACTGCTGGAGTCAGATGGAAAGCTTTGCCTCCAAGGAATGTTGGCTAGAAGGCTTAAAAATTACTTTAAATGTCTAAAGTACTGCAATGAAATCACAAATTACTGTCAGTTAGGGAAAGCAAAACACTGGAGAGGAAGGAGATGTAACAATTGCATTTTATAGTGTTTTTTTACTCTTCCAAATTATAACTTTATTTTCACTCCTCTGGGGTTAGATTTTACTTATGTCAGTTGTCAGGTGGATGGAAAAGCTCACCAAAAGGAGTGGAACTTTTAAGAGTGAACTCCCACCAGTTTCTGTAAAGGTATTGGCCTCTACTTTTCACTGAATTTTTAATGATGATTGGTCAAGTACCATTTTATTCAGCAGAAAATGTTTGGAATACTAATATGAATCATCTTGTTTTATTTATAATGCATTCTGAGACTGTTACTCACAGAAGTGAGAACTCTGAGGATAGCCAGTATAATCTTCATCTCATCCCTGTGCAAGGTGCTGCATTTTGGGTCATACCCCAGGGTTAAGCTGTGAGCAAATATGCTGCTAAAATTTCTTCTTTGAAAACCAGGCAACAAAAGCACCTTAAGGAGCCTTTTGTCCTGTGGGTTTAAAAACTGAAATATGCCTTAAGCATTCTGCCAAATGAAGTTCTAGGGTTTTTTTAGCTTGACTGCAACAGGAGGGATCTTGTAGGGGTTGTTTGGGGTACACAATCCGGGAGTACATAGGATATTTGTGGAGCTGTCAGGATAAGAGCAAAGGTAACTGTTGTTTATACCTGTTCAGGAGGAACAAGTGAGGAGTGGTTGTTTAGATTTTTTTTTTTTCCAAGATAGTTTTTATTATCCTTGTGTGGTAGAAGTTCATTGCTTCTATCAGTATTTTCTGCTCAACATAACTCAATATTTATTTTTCATAGCTGTCAATACCCTCAGGTCAAATATTTTCAAAACTACAGACACCTACTTATGCCTTCCTATTGGAACTGTGGTACTATTTTGTGTGTCCCTAAAGTAATAATTACATGTGCTTATGTCTTTTAACTGTTGCAAAAGTGGGTATTGTATATCTCATCAACCAGTGATGCTTTAGTTCTTCAAGTAATGGCTGTTTGGAAGTAACTGTTAGTATTAACAGGTTTTAAAAGTATTTCAGGACTTGTTCAAGGTGTTGTTGTTTTTTTTTTTTTTTTAGGTGGCCTGGCTTTAGCTCAAGTGCTCTTTTTTTATGTGAAATACCTGGTTTTGTATGGTATTCCTGCTCTCCTCCTTCAGATGGATGGACTCAAACCCCCAGCTCTGCCTTGTTGTGTGAGCCTGATGCACAGCTTCACTAAAATGTGGAGGTTAGTTGTTATTGCTCTTTAGACAGTTTATTACTGGTGTATGGCAGTCAGTGTATAAACATGTACGTTCTTCTGGTTCATGGTCACATACATGTTTGCTTTCATGTCCTTGTGCTTTTTCTCTTTCCCGTTCATCTTTAGTACTACTTAAACAAATGTCAATTTGATGCTTGCTGTCTTCACACTGCAGGGAGTAGGGGCAGGCTCCCCTCTCAGCATTTTCATTAACTAACTTAGCACTTATTTTTCTCTCTTGTTCTAAACTTCATTTTCAGATATTCTTCCAGAGAAGGTGGAAGAAAAAATGGTTGATTAACCACCCTATGAGGAAAACTGTACTTGGAGCACTTTAATTTCTAGAGTCATGCAGTAGAAAAAAAAATCTTCAACATGTTAAACAATTATAATTTGTCATAGTATTTTTATAATGTAGGATGCATTTTGGGAACCCCTTTGCTTTTAAAGAGTATCAGGACAGTATTTCACTAAAAAGTATCAATTTTTAACCTTACAGCCACTTTTAATCAGTGTATACTGCTGTAATTTCCCTTCAAATTGTCTCCCAGGTGGGTTCTGCTTGCTGTTTAGCCTGTGTAACAGTATCTCTAGTTTTCAGTCTGCAGAATGCTGTGCTGCAGACTTCTAGAAACATAACCTAAAATGATTTAGACTTGTCAGCACTTTAGTGCAGAGACTTGTGTTGCATTAGTGCAGTCTAGCACAGCGTTGCTTAGGGCTCTGACTGCTCTGCAATATGAATAAAGCTTTTTCATTTTAGTCATAAAAACAGCAAGCCTGCTATTACCAGAGCTTTATTGGATGAGATTTTAATTTTGTTTTCGACTTGAAGCTAATTGTAATAAGAAAGCTTTATAGTTTATGATAGTTGGCAACTGTAGGTATGAAATGCAGCAGAAATGGAGTGCAGAAAACAGATGAACTGCTTAAAAATTATTTGAGCTGCTAGCAAATGCATTTGTTTAAATTCTCCTTCAGATTTTGAACTGAACTTACAACCTACAACTTTAATATAGAAATCTGTGGATTTTACCAGGCACTCTCTTGAAAGCAGCATCTGTTGGCCTGCTGGCCCTTGCAGGCAGAGTTTCAAACAGCAGCTTTTTTTTCCCCAGTTCCCCAATTTATTATTCCAGAGAGTCTGTGTATTGCTCTGGAGGTGGCAAACG